GTTTTCCACTGTCTTTATATTTCACTGGAGGTCTCAGGGGTTCAAGAAATGAAACAAAGGTCAGGAAGTAAATCAGGAATACTCCAAAGACTGTTACAGGTTTTAATGTGCTCAGGGATAAGAAAAGTCGGTCTTTTGAGATTTTTATTTTTCTTTTATAGTGAGTATACTCCGTGCATAATAATCAAAGCTTATTAAGTCATTATCAAATCTTAGTCATATCTTTACGCAAAAGGCACAATAATGTCTTACAAAATCTTTATTGACATTCAGAAAACAGTTGCTTGTTTTTTTTTAAGTAACACGTTTCCTTATTGTATTCAGAAACCTTTACATTATGTGAAGTAGTACCATTTCATCAGAATACTCTCTGTTATCCCAGTCATCACTTGACAGGCAATAAATAAATTATGGAAATTATATAAAAGTATTGCTTCTAAGTATAGTCATTAAAAAGTAAAACTTGGAAGCATTTAACCTGAATTGCCTACAGTATTGAAAAATGAAGGTAAATATGGTTTCATTATTTAATGATATGCTTATAAGTTGAGAAAAAATATTGTAATGACCAGGGGGTTTGCACAGAATGAGCACATACTTTTAGATGCACAGGCACCACATTTATTAAACCTCTGTCTGTCCACCATAACAAACAGAGATTCAAAACTTTTCAACTAAGGCGGAATCTGAATGGGCCAAGCGTTGCCGGTATCGATGTTGTGCTGGACTAGGGTCGTCCGCGAGCAGTCCTCATCTCTGGCTATGAACAGATCCTCATTCTCTGCGATGAGTGCTCGCAACCGCCGCTGCTGGTCCCGGGTGAGACTCACCCAGTAGGTTCCTGATGGCATGCTTGGTCTCTGTCCGTCGCTCGGCCACGACTCTCTCCTCAGGGGGTGCCTCCCCGGTCACAGGGGCAAGGTCTGGCACACACAGCAAGTGCCACAGAAGAAGGAAGGCCGACAGCTTTTACACACTTGCAGAGAAAACGCACAACACAGCTGTTTCTTTTCTCTGTATCGAATATACTTTACATTTAATACTTAATGTTAAAGAAAATATATCATTGCTCTGAAATCAGTCCAGAGGACAGCATCCAGATACTGTACATTCTGTTGCCTATGGGAATGTCTTGAAGACCTCAAAGGCACAGACAAGTCAAAATCAACCTTCTTCAGAATCAGCATTGAAACACGAACCAGAGGACACAAGTGGAAACAATTTAAAATTGTGGAAGGAATTTCTTAACTCATTTCTCAGATAAAAAACTGCCACATAAGAGCTTACATATTTTAAAAACACATCAAAAAGAAAAGAAAGAGAGACTGGTCGGAAATGGTGCTCAAAGACAAAGAAAAAACCATGGCACACCACTGGTCCACTTCTAACATGACTTGGCCAATCCAATATGGCTTATAAAATAGTAAGGAAAAGAGCCAGGTGTATCCTCCATCCACAGCTCCAGTAAGAGTATTCTTCTACACAATCCCAAATGACAATAATAAAATGTATGAGATGGTATCTTAACCCTGCCCAACAAGTGCTTCTATTAAGTTCAGAAAGTATGACTGAAAAACAATATGACTTAAACAAATAAAGAAAAATAACCACAATTATACATAAACACATGAGAAATGTTAATATGATGTTTAAAAGCAAGTATTTTAATTATTTTGTGCAAAACATTGTGCCTTTCATGATTCATATACATTTAAGATCTACTACAATGACTTTGATGACATCTTACCAATCATGTGTTTCTTTGTATTTAATTCAGGCTTAAATAAAATTATATAACATTTGGGTGCAAATATACAGAACAGTAAACCAAAACTAGAAGTCAAAATTGCAAATATTTCTACAGCTACTGTGTATTTACCAGGGGAACTGACATATGCTGGGATAAAGGTGATCCAGACAGCACAGAATATGAGCATGCTGAATGTAATGAATTTGGCTTCATTGAAGTTATC